TACGGAGTATTAACTGCTGTCACAAAATCATGATTCAAACTTAAGATGATCTTATCAGTCATAGAGGGGAAAAAAATGAATGAATTAGATCTGGCCCATTAAAAGATTGGCTCAAGGGTCTAATGTATAACATGGTGACTATAGTTGGTAATACTCTGTTGTATGATAGAAATTTGCTAAGAGAGTAGAACTTTAAATGTTCTCACCAAAAAAAAGCAGGGGGAGATAAATATATGAGTTGATAGATGTGTTAATTAAATAGATGGTGGGACACCCTTTCACAATGTATATCAAATCATCATCATGTACATTTTAAGTATCTTACATTTTGGTTAATTACACCTCAAGAAAGCTAGGGGGAGGGGCACCTGGAGGCTCAATTAGTTAACTGTCTACTTCGCTTAAGTGTCTGACTTCGGCTCAGGTCATGATCTGAGTCCTGGGATCAAGCCCCACATGGGGCTCCCGCCTGAGTGGGGAGTCTGCTTGTCCTTCTTCCTTTGCCCTTTCCCCCGCTCATGTTCTCTCTCTCCTAAATAATAAATAAATAAATAAATAAATAAATAAATAAATAAAATCTTAAAAAAAGCAAGCAAGCTAGGGGGAGAAGGTTGACTCCACAAAACTGACCCACAGGTCTCCAGACAGCCCCTGTACCACTCAAGACTGTGAACTCTGGCCATGAACATTTTATGAAGGATGAATTTTGTAGGGAAGTAGGATCAATTTGCAAAATTATAAATCTGTGAACTTTCTCAGTGAGCCATATACACAGCCATGAGTGTAGCCATTTCTTCCTAATAGGAATCCTCATTAAAATCAGGCTTTCTGGGGCACCTGGCTGGCTCAGTTGGTAGAGCATGTGACTCTTGATCTCAGGGTTGTAAGTTCGAATCCCACGTTGGGTGTTGAGATTACTTAAAAATTAAATCTTTTGGGGTGCCTGGGTGGCTCAGTCGTTAAGCTTCCGCCTTTGGCTCAGGTCATGATCCCGGGGTCCTGGGATCGAGCACCACATAAGGCTCCCCGCTCGGTGGGGAGCCTGCTTCTCCCTCTCCCACTCCCCCTGCTTGTGTTCCCTCTCTTGCTGTAACTCTCCCTGTCAAATAAATAAATAAAATGTTTTTAAAAAATTAAATCTTTTAAAAAATAATAAAATCTTTTTTTAAGATGTTACTTATTTGAGAGAGAGAGAGAGCACAAGCAAAGGGGAGGGGCAGAGGGAGAAGGAGAAGCAGACTCCCCACTGAGCCTGACGCAGGGCTCCATCCCAGGACCCCGAGCTCATGACCTGAGCTGAAGGCAGACACTTCAGCTGAGCCATCCAAGCGCCCCTAAAATTAAAACCTTTAAGTAAAATCTGAGGCTTTCTCTAAGGTGTGCCTTCCAACATTTTTCACATCCTGGCACACATAAAAAGATATTTTTTGTATGGCACAATGGAATAAATTTGAGAGGACTTCGGAATGTATACATAAGACTTAGAGAAAAAAATTCACTCCATATCCTTTATATAATTGTGATAAGAAAAATAACATGTACTAAGTTTTATAGAAACTTTTAAATTTGTGTAACACTTCCAAGAAATGATTTTCAGAATGTCAAAAGACAGCCTACTTGTGGGAACATGACTTTTTTTTTCATAATAGGCTGAAACCCTATACACAATTCCTAATCCAGACTTTTTAGCGGTAACATCTTCACATTCTTCATAATCACCATCTACAAATTTATTTGTACAAAGAGGTGACAAAAAACTTGAAACCGGGGCGCCTGGGTGGCTCAGTTGCTTAAGCGACTGCCTTCGGCTCAGGTCATGATCCTGGAGTCCTGGGATCAAGTCCCATGTCGGGCTCCCCGCTCTGCGGGGAGTCTGCTTCTCCCTCCGACCCTCTTCCCTCTCGTGCTGTCTATCTCTCATTCTCTCTCTCTCAAATAAATAAATAAAAATCTTTAAAAAAAAAAAAAAAACTTGAAACCATTGTTATAATCATTTAAAATTTTACGATTCAACTGATGAATGGATAAAAAAGATGCAATATATTCATATGTGAAATATTATGCAGCCATAAAAAGGAATGGAGCACTGACACCTGCTACAACACAGATGAATCTTGAAAAGTGTGCCAAGTGAAAGAAGCCAGACTCAAAGGCACATAACATAGGACTCCATTTATATAAAATGTCCAGAATAGACAAATCCATGGAGAGAGAAAGTAGTAGTTACAAGGGCCTGAGGGTAGGAAGGAAGTAGAGACTGACTGCTAGCAGAGTTTCGTTTTTAGGTGATGAAAATATTCCAGATAGAAGGTGGTGGCAGCTGCACAACTGTGACCCTACTAAAAAACCCTGAGTTGTACATTCTTAAAGGGAATCTTACGGTATTTGGATTAAATCTCAATAATTTACGACTGAGGGGCGGCTGGGTGGCTCAGTCGTTAAGCGTCTGCCTTCGGCTCAGGTCATGGTCCCAGGGTCCTGGGATCGAGCCCCACGTCAGGCTCCCTGCTCGGTGGGAAGCCTGCTTCTCCCTCTCCCACTCCCCCTGCTTGTGTTCCCTCTCTGTCTTTCTGTGTCAAATAAATGAATAAAATCTTTTAAAAAAATAATAATTTACGACTGAAATTAAATTTAAAGAATCTAACTCCTTTCATTGACAAATGTGAAATTTCTTATAATGTGGATTTTTAATCAAAGTAAAATCACATCAAATATTTCAAGATGATGAAGCTATAACTCACAGAATGTGAACATGCATTTTTAGAACAGTCACCCTGCCCCTAGCTTTGACCACAAAGGTCAGAAGTATTCCACATACATGAAGCAGAAAGCCAGGCTGTCTTGAGCTACACCTGCCGGGAGCCCTGGCCTACTCTTCAGCCCCCATGATCCGCATGGCTAGCAGCACCTCACGTCCCTGAAACACCAGAGGGCTCCAGCAACGCCATGGCTTCTTGTCTTTGATGAGCAACAGAACGCTCAGCAGCTGCTGCCAGAGTGGGTGACCAGGTGGGGGTCGATCCCAGGACTCAGATCATGACCTGAGCCCAAGTTAGACACAAGCGAAGCAGACAGTTAACCGATTGAGCCATCCAGGTGCCCCTCCCCCTCCTTGGCCATATTTCAGGCAGTCCAGGACTCCTGGTGGTAAGGTGACAGATAAGGGAGCTCTGGCTGCTCCAAGTTCCATCCACCTGGCCATCCCGAAGACAGTGGGGATCAGTATCTCCCCACACACTGATTTCAAGGCACACCACTCAGGGTATTTAATTGTAAAATCTAGAATTATACTGACCCGGAGCTTACCTTGGACATAAGAATTTGTGGCACTATGTAAATATTGATCCAGCTTTCCACCAGTTTGTAAAGCCTAGTCGTTCTGGATGCTTGTCACTAAATGCTGTCTTCCTTTTCCTAGGAAAGTTGAGACTGGGAAGCCCGCAGTGATACATCAGAAATGTTTTTAAAATAAACATCTTGAGAGGCGCCTGGGTGGCTCAGTCGTTAAGCATCTGACTTCGGCTCAGGGTCCTGGGATCGAGCCCCACATCGGGCTCCCTGCTCCGCGGGAAGCCTGCTTCTCCCTTTCCCACTCCCCCTGCTGGTGTTCCCTCTCTCACTGTATCTCTCTCTGTCAAATAAATAAAATCTTTAATTAATAAATAAAGAAATAAAATAATCATCTTGAAAATGTTATTCAGTATTTCGATGCTTAGTATTTGGCTATGCCATCTACATGTACACAGATTAAAGTCTCTAAAAGGGGCACCTGGCTGGCTCAGTCAATAGAGCATGTGACTCTTGATCTCAGAATGGTGAGTTTGAGCCCCACATTGGATGCACAGTTTACTTAAAATAAGTAAATAAAAATAAAAAATAAATCTCTAATAAACTATAGCCAACCCCTGCACTAATTATATTCTGGGCGGTGGACTTTACATTATGTGTGATTGATTCTACTCTACAATAGGAATCACTACACAGAATAAATTGTACTTGACATTGCATAAAACACAACAGGCATACAGTCCACCTGCAGAAGCCTGAAAGAGTATGCTCTTGACAAAAATGTTAAGAATACTGTGGTTCCTCAAAAAATTAAACAGAGTTACTATTTGTTCCAGCAATTCCACTTCTGAGTATGTACTCAACATTGAAAGCAGGGGCGCTTGGGTGGCTCAGTCGTTAATTGTCTGCCTTTGGCTGAGGTCATGAGCCCTGGGTCCTGGGATCAAGCCCCGCAACCTGCTCCGCAGGAAGCCTGTTTCTCCCTTTCCCATCACCCCCTGCTTGTGTTCCCTCTCTTGCTGTCTCTGTCTGTGGAAGGAAGGAAGGAAGAATTGAAAGCAGGAACTCAAACAATATTTGTATCACGTTCATAGCATTATTCACAATAGCCAAATGATGGAAACAACCCAAATGTCCATCAGTAGATGAATGAATAAACAAAATGTGATATATACATACAATGGGATGCTATTCAACTTTTAAAAAATGTAACTGATACATGCCACAATATGGATGAACCTGTAAAACACTGTGCTAAGTGAAATAAGCCAGATTTTAAAAGGACCAATATTGGGGCGCCTGGCTGGCTCAGTCGGTGGAACATAAGACACTTGATCTGAGGGTTGTGAGTTCGAGCCCCACGTTGGGTGTAAGATTACTTTAAAAAAATAAAATCTTCAAAAAAAAAGGACCTGTATTAATTCCACTTATATGCACTACCCTAGAGTAGTCAAATTCATAGACAGAAGGATGGTTGCCAGGGTCTTGGGGGAGGGGGAAATGGGAAGTTACTGTCTAATGGGGACAGAATCTGGTCAGGGAAGATGACAAAGTTCTGGAGACAGAATACACTTAAAGTCACTGAACGGTACACTTTAAAGATGTTTGAAATGGTAAACTGTACATTTAGCACAATGAAATTTTAACTAGAAAAAGAACTACATTAGCATGTGGGCAAGGGGAAGACGGGAACTAAAGGCAGACTGAGTATTTAAGTAATTAAATGCTTCACGAATTTGTGTGTCAGCCTTGTGCACGGGCCATGCCAATCTTCTCTGTATCATTCCCATTTTAGTATACGTGCCGCTGAAAGGAGGAGCACTATTTAAGTAATTAAAATAAGAATTAATAAAATGCTCAATCAGTATCACCCGGTAACAGGAGTTTGTAATCTCTTGGTCTGTGCCATAGTCAGACTAGTCTGAGGTGTCATGTGTATTCTGAGGTACCTATTTTTATAAAAAACATCTACCCAGGTGAGAGTTACCAGGAAAGAGCGTCATAAAAAGTGGTTGAAAGAGGGGCGACTGGGTGGCTCAGTTGGTTAAGCGACTGCCTTCGGCTCAGGTCATGGTCCTGGAGTCCCCGGATCGAGTCCCGTATGGGCTCCCTGCTCCCGCCTCTCCCTCTGACCCTCCCCCGTCTCACGCTCTATCTCATTCTCTCTCTCAAATAAATAAATAAAATCTAAAAAAAAAAAAAAAAAGTGGCTGAAAGAGCAGGGCTGTTTTGGGTGGAGAAGACAAAGGTCCGGGGAACACGACGGCCAGCTCCCCCTATCCAGAAGCCGTCCCGTAGAACATACTTTATGCTGCTCCATTACGCGGAACCCGAACTGGTGGCTGGAAGCGTTCTCATAAAATCGGAATTTTAGAGGTGAAAAGGCCGCTGGTGACTTTGTCCAAGCCCCTTACAGCTGGAGCCACTCGCCTCGGACCACACAGCCCGTGAGGGCGGTCGGGTTTCCAAAGAGGGGGAAGCCTAGCGCCCGGAGCCGGTGCTTTTCTGGGCGGCGAGCTGATTCCCACAGCGCACCGCAAACCATTTCCACTGTGTTCAGCGTTTCAGTGCCCTCCCCTCCTCAGAATTAGCTCACTAAGTTCCCCTCCATTCTCCGGGCAAGTATCCCCTCGGGGGATACTTCACCCGCTCCCGCCGCCCCGGTGCCCTCCGCCTCCTCCGCGACTCCAGGCCGCCGGCGTGCTCCCGCCTCTTCCCCGCCGCGCCCCCCTCGACCTCTCGGGACCGCGCTCCTCCGCTCCCCTTCCGTCGCCGCACGTCGGGAGTCAGTCAGTCAGAGGATCCGCGCTACGGAGCTAGTAACGGCCGCTCTGAGGGCGTCCGGGCTGACGAAAGACGTGATCCTACGGAGCCTCGCAAGCCCGAGGCACATATTTGTCCGTCAGAAGGCGGGCAGGAGAGCAGAAGTCACTCTCAGGATTCCAAACAGAACGTGCAGGATCAGGAACGGGTCTCCCCGGAGCTGAAAGAGCCGGAGCGTGGGCTCTGAGGCGTCCTAAAGACCCGCCACGGCGGCGAAGCCTCGGCCAGCCCCTCTCACCTCCCCGAGCTCGGGCCCGCTCACAAGCTGCGCCGCCCGAGGCCCGCCTGCTGGCGGGAGGCGACGGCACACCCTGCCCTGGGTGCCGAAGGGAGAGGGAGGAAATACCCGCACTCCCGTCTCTCCACCCCCACCCCTCCCCTGCCCCTCTTCCCTCCTCCGCACCTCCCCCCCTCCACGCCCCTCCACTCCCCTTCTCCTCCTCTCCCTTCCCCTTCCCCCTCCGCATCTCTCCTCTCCCTCCTCCCCCCCACCTTCCCTTCCCTTTCCCCTTCCCTTTCCCCCCCCCCCTTCCTTCCCCTCCCCCCCCCCCGCTCCCCGCGCCCCCTCTCCCTTCTGCTTCCTTCTCCTCCCCTCCCTTCTACCCCTCCCCCTCCCCCTTCCGCCCCTCGCCTCCCACCAGGGCCTCCCACCGGCTGAACCAGAAGCCAGCTGACAGTGACTTCCAGGTGAGCCTTGCCCCCGACCCAAGACGTGAAACAGAGCAGGGAAAGGGCGAGGAACATATCTGAAGAACAACGGATTTTGTCGTTTTATGCGTGCGCAAATAATAAAGTTACACAGTGTATAAACCCCCGTCCAACAAAACCCACGTGTCTTTTTTTCTTTTTCTTAAACAGGGGAGACCAGAGTATAAATCTGAAGATCTCCTGATACAGAAGAAGATCACAAAGCTCAATACCATTCTAACTAAAATGTAACTTGTAATAATTGACAGCTTTTCTGCCATTTTATCGTTTTACATCAAGTTGCTAATTGATGCGACACACCTCCTAAAGGTTAACTTGCAAAAAAGGTCATCCTGAAAAAGAAGTTTTTTTTTTTCTTTCAGGAATATTCAGGGCAGCTTTATTTGTAATAGCCCAAAACTGGAAACAATCAATCAGAATGTCCATAGACAGGTGAATGGACTAACATGTAAACATATGGCCATAGGAGGGAATGCAACTCAGTGGTAAAAGTGTATGAGCTATTGATGAACACTACAGCACAGGTAAATCTCAAAGAAAATCGTGCTGCCTGGGCGCCTGGGTGGCTCAGTCGGTTAAGCGTCTGCCTTCGGCTCAGGTCACGATCTCAGGGTCCCTGGATCGAGCCCTCAATCGGGCTCCCTGCTCAGTGGTGAGTCGGCTTCTCCCTCTCCCTCTGCCCCTCCTCTCCCATTCATGCTCTTTCTTTCTCAAATAAATAAATAAAATCTTTAAAATATTTATATATAAAATTTTTTTTAAAAAAGATAATTAGGCTGCCTGAAAGAAGTCAGACCAAAGCAAGAATACGTACATACTGTATGGTTCTATTTGTATAAATCCTGGAAAATGCAAGCTAATCTACAATGACCAAAGCAGATTTTCGTGGTCATCTGGAACCAAGTGGGGGGTGAAGGGGGATGAGAGGGAGCGAATCCCAAAGGGCGTGAAGAAATTTTTGAGGGTGATGCGCATGTTCGTTATCTTTTTTGTTTTCCCCTCACAAACATTCTCTTTAATAGATAAGCTTAACCTTGGTGGCAAATTTTAATAGAGTAGAAAGCCTTCACTATGTATCATCTATATTTAAAGTTTATTTCTCTCTCTGAAGAGAGAAGTTCTAAGACTAATGTGCACCAAAAATGAGAAATTTAAGAAATTGGAAAAACTGCTAGTTTATTCAAGTTGTTTCACCTGGTGTTTACAGCTTGTTAAGTTTGTTATATATTGGTTTGAGAGTGATTGATGGTGATAAAAATTATCCAAAATAATGAGTCACAACCTATTTAGGCTTTAAAAGAATACCGTATTCCTAAAAATACCAGTTTTTATCTCTTAGGAATCGGTCAAATGTATTTACATATTCTACATTATATGTTTGTCTAGTTTATTTCTCATAAGTTCTTTTTTTTTTTAAGATTTATTTATTTTAGTGAGAGAGCATGAGCAGGAGCAGAGGGTGAGGGAGAGAGAATCTCAAGCAGACTCTGTGCTGAGTGCGGAGCCCAACACAGGGCTCGGGCCCAGAATCCTGAGATCATGACCAGAGCCGACGTCAAGAGTCAGATGCCTAACCGACTATGCCACCCAGGTGCCCCTCTCATGCAAACTATCACCATAACAGGGTTTATTTCACAAAGGTACTTATGTGGTGAAGCGTAGCCATCAAGCACCCATAAACAAGACATTTGTCTCTAGTACCTGTTCATATACCTCCTCTCTGTCACCCTATCTGATCACCACCCTCAAGAAAATTGTCATTTCCATAACCATCAATTCCCAAACTATCAAGTCTATCTAACTTCAGTGTTCTTCCTACTCCATCCATCACTCCCTACCCCAACACACACACACACACACACACACACACACACACACACACACACACACACTTCATTAAAAATTGGTATAGGCATTAAGAAACCTTAAAGACTATAAAATCTATCATTCTGAAATCAAGTAGCTCTTTAAAAATAAGCTCAAATGGAGGGCTTGCTATTTAAGGCAGATTTTCATGCCTACTCTCAGAACTTTTAATTTCATAGTTCTAGGTGAGGAATCAGCATTTTTATCTTTCATCTTTGGCATTATAATTATGTGTTGTGATGTGGACCTCCTTGGGTTCATTTTGTTGGAATTCTCTGTGCATCCTGAACCTGAATGTCTATTTCCTACCCCAGGTTATTTCTTCAAAGAAGTTTTCTGCCCCCTTCTCTCTCCCTTCTCCTTCTGGGACCCCTATAATGTGAGTATTTATTTGCCTGATGTTGCCCAAGACATCCCTTAACCTAGTCTCATCTTTTTTCATTCTTTTTTCTTTTTGTTCTTCAGCTTGGGTGCTTTCCATCACCCTGTCTTCCAAGTTGCTGATCCATTCCTCTACGTTTTCTGATCTACTGTTAATTCCCTCTAGCGTGTTTTTCATTCCAGTTATTGTGTTTTTCAGCTCTGATGCATTTTTATTTATATTTTTTGTCTCTTCGTGAAGTTCTCACTAAGCTCTTCCACTCTTCTCTCCAGTCTCATGAGCATCTTTATGACTTTTACTTTGAACTCTTTGTCAGGTAGATTGTTTATCTCCGTTTCATTTAGTTCTCGTTCTGACGTTCTGTTTTATTTTTTCATTTGGAGCATATTCCTCTGTCTCCTCATTTTGCTTGACTTTCTGTGTTTGTTTTTATGAAGCACGTGGAACACCTACTTCTCCTAAACTTAACAGAATGATCTTGTGTAGGGTCATCCTCTGTTTAGACTTTAAGTGCCTGGTGACTTTGGCTGGCTAGAGCTGTGGCTGGTGTGGGCTGGGGGTCTCAGGGCACTCTGTGCTGAGGCTGCCCTGGTGGGGTGGCCAGAGCTGAAATAGGTGTGGGCCCTGGTAGTCTCAGGGCTCTGGGCACAGAGGGCACACTGGCAGGACAGCTGTAGCTGAAGTGGGTGCAAGCTGGAGTGTCCCAGGACACTCCATGCATGAGTACCCTAGCAGGGAGGCTGGGGTGGAGGCAGGCATGGGCCAGGGTGTCCCAGGGCACTCTGCTCCAGCAATGCCCATGCGAGTCATCTGGAGCTGAAATGGTGCAGGCTTGGAGTGTTCCAGGGTGCTTTGCACCTTTGTCACCTTGGCAAGATGACTGGAGCTATAGTGAGCACTGACCAGGGGTGTCCCGGTGTGCACTGTACTGGGACCACCTTGGCTGGATGTCTGGCGCTGGTGTGGGCTAGGGGCCCAGGGCTCCCTGAGGCAGTAGGCTGGCTAGGGTGCCAGGACCCTGGTCTCATCCACAATGTCAAGGT